ACACACACACCAACCGTGCACTCTTGTTGGTCAAGTTTAGGACCTCCCTTGTTGCTAGGCTCTATTTGGCCAATTGTGGACGTGGCCAAAAGTCTGGCAATGTATCGAGTCCCCGCCCTGCAACTGTAAATTGTCATGACTACGATGACAAAGAATTGCAGACCAGGTCGCCCTGACAACAGGATCAATTCGAAAAAGACGAGATAAAACCACCTTTTTACTGCGGAAAGTGGGCACCGACGCGAATCGGCCGTCGTCTTTTGGTGAGATCTACTTTCGAATGTGCTCTCCATGACCTGCCAAGTGAAGTGAAAATTGCACTTTTCTGTACGTATGTGGCAAGAGCATGGAAACTCATTTCTCCTTCGTGTCTCCCAGACGTAGGATAACTGACCATTGCAGGGACGAAATGAAACCCCTTCTGTACAGAGAAACGAGAGGACCACACCAGTTACCATGTCAACTCGTCGAACGTGCAGTGTGAGCATGCGATTGTCCATCTCATTGCAATAACCAAGATGTTGCGGCCTCCATTTTGGTCACAGTCTCCTTTCGATGTATTTTAGTTGTTTCATGTTGTTTCTCAATTTGGTCATATTGGCAGGAAGATGTGGAGGAAGACAGCTTGTCCCGAATCCATTTTCTCTTTGACGAGTTGTAGTTCGATGCTGAGAATGACAAGACGCACTGACGATGCCGATGCAACGTCTGAGAATGTACCAAGTCGACACTCTGAGCCTGAGCATTGGTTGCAGAAACAAGGTCAGACAACTACTATCGGTCCTGTTGTGTTGTTGGAGCAATGGTCTCTTTTGTTCCAGTTTGTCTGCCGTTTTTCAAGCGTTTCTTCCGTTCAGCTCACCACATTTGCTCAGGTCGGCCGGTCGTCCTGGCAACAACACTGCCGCATGCATACAAAATCTGGCGGAGGACGATCCGGACACTCGAGCCAGTGTCATCTTCTGTTAGTACCATTTACTTGGGTTCCACTTTCTCGGTGCAATTTTGGACATCTGTCAAGAAAGCAGCATCAAAAAACATGTTGGCAGGGTCCTGTTGTATGGTTCTTCTACATTTTTAACCGAAATGAGGCCTCAATTTTCCTGTTTTCTTGCCCGCAACATCAACGGCTGCTTAATGCAGACTTTTGGTTGACCGCTATTGTCAAAACAAATTTCCCACTTTTCACCAATTCGTAGATGTGAATGAGAAGAGGGAGGGAGGAGAGCTGGCGATGTGTGCTTGTCCGAATGGGCTTCTCTTTTCGTTGATAAGTGGGTTTTCGAGACTATCTTTCGAGCATGGATACGAGATGTATTCACCTTATTTGGTAGATATGTTTTCCGTCAATCTATTGTATTTCACAAAGCCTTGACTCCCAAAAGGTATTCTCATCCTGGCAATCCTGCATAAGTCCCACTAGCACCTTAACGCAATGTGATGAACACATCTAATATATATATATATAAAATATATAAGTGATAGTTTAGAAAATCTACTTATAAACGAAAAAATGAGTAGTATAGTCAGTCGTTATAGCAAATACAATGTTGCTTCATCCAGAGAATGTGATGTTGAAATGCACATCTGCTTTTTGAGCCAAGTGCACTCAAGGCAGGCTGGCGTAGTGGCCGACGGTTCACGATGTTACGCTGCACTACTGCAAGCCGGGTTCGAGTCCCGCTCGGGCTGCTGATCAGTCCAAGTTGAGGCCGGATTGAGTACAGGCAGTTGTGACTTTGTGACTGAGTGAATTGTCTGTCTATCAATACTGTTTTTTCTAAGACATACTGGACGCGAATGAATGTAACTTACAATGGACTGTGTCAAAATTGGAATTAATCTGAATACATAAAATGTGTATGCTTTAGATACTATTATTAAATGTATAATAATGTATATTATATTATGATGTATCCTATATTCCCTCTTAATATGGAATATATACTAT